TGTCATTTCACTTGCAAGTTCTTTTGATGTGTCCCATGGTGATTCTAATAATTAAAGTACCAATTAATTTTAAACAAGAATTCACCAAGTTAAACTAAATAAAAAAATCAATATAAATTATAAACTAACTTTCTTGTTTATATTCTGACTTTTCTGGCCTTGGTGGAAAAGGGATAATGACATTATCAGTTCCACAAACTACACGTCGCCATCTCATCGTACCATTTCCATCAATTTCAACTTTTTTCCATCTAGTTCTAACACGCCTCCTAATATATATTTACGCCATGAATGCCTCAATTTCTGATAAAATAGTTTTTTCTTTTTTTTTAAAAAAAAAGCAACATACTTATCTTTGTCTGGAATGGAATCGCTACAAAAGAAAATTTCTCGTATTCTATATATAGCAACATCATAAGATCCAATGTATATAACATGAATACTTACTCCTTCAAATCATCTGGATATATATGCATAACGTTTGATACGTGGATCGCCTTCATAGTTGGTCGTAACCACCATCCACCCTTTTTTTCAGATTGATCAGGAGCATTTGAAATCTCATTCGGCGAAGTTTTTCTGCCCTAGTTATTTATATAAGGGTATTATCAAATAACAAAATAGAAAGGAAGGAAGGAAGGGAATAATAAAGTATGGAAACAAATTTTGATAGCATTACCACTTTTACACCATCAACCCAAACTCTATTTGTAAACATATCGACCGTCTTAACCTTCCCAATTTGATGTTTAGCATCACCTGCGATGACTTTGACCTATATTTCATTATATTCAACAATCCCTTAAATGGCATTACTGATAAACTTGTTTAATTACCGTATCGCCTTCAACAATTTTCCACCTTTTAATTCTGTCTTTGGGGTGAACCCATTGTTCCTGCGGTTTAAGCCTGGTTGATACACGGTTTTCAAATTTCGACCATACTTCACGAAACATGTGAAGAGGTTTATCAGGCTTTTTCGACATTATTTTGTTTATTAACGTTAATAACGAAGTCGATTTTTTTTTAGCTACGTTTTTGATTATCGTTATCAAATTAAACTTGTTTGACCGAAATCGGCAAATAAAATTTTTAATTTAGTTTAGGGGCACGGGAAATACCCCTCAGTATTAAACATTCAAATTATTTGGTTTTAAGACATTTCTCTCATGTGATTGACTATTTTATTAACCAAGTCTAGTTTAAAACAAAACTTGTTTTAATAGCTTTAAACCTATTTTA